CTAGGGCCTAGATTATTGTAGCTCCACTTCCCCATATTTTGCATGTAAGTTCACTTTGAACTGTGCCACACCACAACTTTCCTGAAACACCCAGATTTGTTGATGTTCTTGGTCCTGACTTAAGTGTATCTCTACACTTGGTCTAATGGCCCCACGGCTCCCCTGTTCTGGCACCATTGTATAAGGTCCACAACACACTTTGTGTGTTTTAAGTGGAGATAGAATAATGAGTAGAATTATAATCTCCCTTTATTTTCATCAGAACTCTTGCTGCAGTGCTGAAGGCTTTTAATTATATTTTGTGAACTTCCTGATAGTAAAGAATTCCAGTAGACCAGCATTGAGGTAACGCATGCATGGTCTAGTTTTTCAGCATCACTCCTGGACAGGGTGCTATTTCTAATTTTGGCAATATTTCAGAGATGGAAGAAGGAAATCCTAGAAACTTGTTTAATATGAGATTTAAATAACATCTTGGTCAAAAATAACACTGAGATCTATAACACTGGATACAGTGTTCCCAAGTAGCCTTAGAATGTGAAGATTTCTCATTTAATGAAAAAGCTGGAATCTTTCAGACAGATGAGTTCTAAACCTGCCTGGCTTACGTTCGTACATATTTCTTGGAGAACATTGTGATCAACTGGATCAAGATGATTATTTTCTCATCTATGAATGCTTCCTATGCTTTCTGTTTGCCTACTCCAGGTGTCTCATAACATATTCCGGACCCTTCCACCCAGTGACAGCAATGAGTTTGACCCTGAGGAGGATGAGCCCACACTTGAGGCATCTTGGCCACATTTACAGGTAAAAGATATGCACTGTCAAACAGAATGTCTTAATTTGTTTATAAAACGAAAATATTCAAAAATATGTTGAGAAAAGAATTCTGAGCTCAGCTTGTCCTTCTTGAATGCAAAGGAAACTGAAGTGATTAGTATTTTCTTCTAGTCTTTACAAAGCTAACCAGTAGTGTGCAGCAAAAGGTGTGTGTGGGGGGGTGTTTTCCATTTGGCTCCTGTACTGCTTTAGAAGCCTCCAGTTCTTTGTCTGGCATCTCATTAAAGACATTAAACTGCAGATAGTGCAGTGGAGAGTTCTGTGGTATGGAAACTCATTTTTTTTCAAACCTTGCTGCTGGTAGCCTGCCTCCTCTAGATGACGAGGAGAAAATGTGATTGTCATGCTCACAGCACCTGCTTAGATATGCTATCTGTAATGAGTTATAATCTTTACTTTCTTCCAAATCTTTTTCAGTTGGTTTATGAGTTCTTCATTCGGTTCTTGGAGAGTCAGGAATTCCAGCCCAGCATTGCCAAAAAGTACATAGACCAGAAGTTTGTCCTACAGGTGAGTTTCTACCGCTGACTGTCCTACTTCTCTTCTCATTTCCACTGCTTACCAGTTGCTTCAGTGTCCTTTCTTCTTCACCACATCACTGCTTTTGTTCCCCTCAATCAGCTTTTGGAGTTGTTTGACAGCGAGGACCCTCGAGAAAGAGACTATCTGAAGACAGTCTTGCATAGAATCTACGGGAAATTCCTGGGGTTGAGGGCTTTTATACGAAAACAGATCAATAATATTTTTTTACGGTGAGTTTTTCTTGATACATTTCTTTACTTCTAACATTTTCATCTGTCTCTGATTATTTTATAATGGGACATTTTCAGTTTAAAAATATACACTGCAGCTATTTTTTTGTTGTTTAATAAATTAACACATCTGCAGAGCTCCAGGATTATCAGTCTGAGCAATCTGAAGGATAATGAACCATCAACCTGTCGCAGCAGATCAATATGTTCTCTGAACACATGCTCCCTCTGAATCCTTCAGTTACCAATGTTCTCAATCAGTTCTAAAGCATTCCATGATTGCGCATCTACTTGTGTACTTCTGATTGTCTACACACCTTGATCACCTCAAGAATAATCAAACTTGACCTATTTGGAGTTAATCTGCTGATCTGTCTCCATTTTCTTTAAAATACATTTCAGCACACAGACCGATGCGAAGTTACATCTTTATGTGAAAAAACCTGAGGAAATTTACTATTTACATATGAGTGAGATTTTCCCATCCTTTTATTTTTGTTTTATTTATTTTGTGTCGTATTGTCTGAGGTTAACTTTGGTTCAGTTTCATCGTTCATCAAAGTTTGTTACTGTGTGCAAAACAGTTTGTGTGGCTGCCGCACATTTTCATTGCAGGTAAACTGTTTATACATGAGGCCCTTGATGTTTACCTGTTTGCTGTGTTTTACTCTCTTTTTTCTAGTTTTGTTTATGAGACGGAGCACTTCAATGGAGTGGCTGAGTTGCTGGAGATCTTGGGAAGGTACGTGGAAATCTGCAGTGAAGGTGGTTCTCTGTAACGTGTACTAAACCCCTACATCAACCTTTTTTTGACAGATACTATCATTTCATGTATGTTTAATTATATGTTGCCTGCTCAACAACAAACCTGCTGAGAAGAAGACTCTGCTAATTGGCAGTGACCAAAGTCAAATATTTGCCACAGGCGACATCAACTCTTGCCTGAAACTGTTGCCTAAGGATAAGCCAACACTAATGTCATTAGTGCCAACTAGTTTGGTGCGTTGGTCTGTTTGCCAAAACAATGTCAGATTCTGTCATGTTCTCTGGTCCCCTGTCTGATCTGGCCAGTGATGACATATTTAACCTGATGCTGTCATTCAACCGCTGGTTATCTAGGGCAGTGGTCACCAGCCTTTTTATTACCGCGGACCGGTCAAGACTTGGAAATTTTGCTTCGGCCCAGGGTGTGGGGGAGGGGTTGAACTGTCAGATAAAGCTTCTGCATGTTGGTGTTCCCGCTAAAACCTGAATATGCCCAATTTGGGTTGTCTTGGCCCTTTTATCGCAGCCTGTGGGGTTTACCCTGACTGGGAACGAGAATACAACCTGCTGAATGTGACAGGTAGCCAATCAGAAAGCGCGGTGACGTAAGAACAGAGGGGAATCCCAAACAACTGAGAGTACGGTGGATATCGGAGATGATATGTGGAAATGTTTATTATATGTAAAGGTCATTATTATATACGTTTATGTTTATTCAGTTAAAAATGTTAACTATGAAAAAACATATTCACCTCCAAATCATAGTGAGCGGCTGCTCCCGCTGTCTTTTATCCACCGCCTTTTCTTTTTATTACGTCTTTTATCTCTTAAAATGACTCCACAAACTGTCACTATTGCTTCTACATCATCATCCGTGTTTGGTTATTCTAAATTCCCGCTATGTTGGGGGTTTTGTGGATTTTCTTCTGGAATCGCGATGTTTGTGACTGGAATCGGTTCATGTGGTGTGTTGCTCCTGCCTTGTGGCTGAACACGAACCGATC